CGGCCCGGCCGCCCTTCCCGGCCCAGGCCGGCCCCCCCCCCCCCCCGCGGCACCCCTGCGGCTGGGCGTACCGAGGGCTCCCCTCCCTGTGGCTGGGCAGCGAGAGGGCCGGGGCCCGCCCGTGTTTGGGCTAATCTGGCGGTCCGAGGCATCTCCGGCCCCATCCCGGGCCAGCAGGATAGGACGCCTAGGACGGGGCCGCCGCCAGCCCGCTCCCCCTCCCTTGACACCGGCTCGGATGGAACGTGCAGGGGGGCACGTTTCGCCCCCCCCCCCCCCCCCCCCTCCCATTCACAGATGCCCAGTCGCCAACGGTCCCCTCCGCGGCCCTAGAGGCTGGGGTGGCCACCTCGTCCGAGGTTCTCCGCGGACATCCCCCGCCGCGGGAGGAGGGGCCTTCCTGTGTCCTCGCCTCATTTGCCCGGGCCCAACAAAGGGGGCGGGGGGCAGACTCATCAGCTTGCCCCGCAACAACACCCCCCCCCCCCAAGCGAATACGTGTGAGCCCCTGCGGATGAGCCCAGGAGACGTCCATGTTCTGCACTATCGGACAGCACATACTATATGCCATGGAATGGTGTTGTACATTTTCGCCTGCTCTCGCGGAAAAGAAGCACCCACCATGGCCCGGCACATTTCATATGCCTGCGAACCGCCGGGTTGAGATCGCCAGGCGTCTCGTGCTCCTTGGCAGGCCGGGCTTTTGCCACCCCCAATCACCGGCACAGTGGCCGACGACCCGAGAGCCTCTGCGGGTCCGGGCCCTCTTGTCTCGGCCACACGTTTCGGCCACGATCCTGACCAGCACCGGCCCACGGCTCCCTGCCATTTGCCTTCCCTGCCCATCCCCTCTCTTGCTGTGCCTTGGATTGATCTCCCCACCACCGCTACTTCCTCCCCCTTTCCCCCTTTCCCCCTCCCCCCCCCACCCACCCACCCACCCACCCAGACTCGCCACCCGCATCATGATCCGTGGCCTTTCGCGAGCGGCGGCCCACCAGGCCCGAATGTGTGCCTATTTCCGTCCAGCTGCGGTCGCCGGTCCTCGAGCGTACATGTCAAGCTGTGCCGATCCCGCCCAGCCGGCCCCCCATTTGATTACCCTGCCCATCTTCTATGTGAACGCCGATCCACATATTGGCCATCTTCACACCTCGGTGCTTGGCGACTTGGCGGCGCGCTGGCGCAGGCTTGAGGGCACACCAGTCCTCTTTGCCGGAGGCACGGATGAGCATGGTACGTGCAGTTGGCTCTTGGTTTCTTGGGGGGTTGCTCCTCGCCGAGATTCTCCCTCGCCCTCTGCCCCTCTCCCGCTGTCCCTCCCTTCTGTGCGCCGGGATCCCCCCCCCCC